CTAATGTGTATATATTCCACACTTTCTTCATCCATTCTTCCATTGAAGGGCATCTAGGTTGTTTCCAGGTTCTGGCTATTACAAATAATACTGCTATGAACATAGTTGAACAAATGCTTTTGTCATATGATAGGGCATCTCTTGGGTATATTCCCAAGAGTGGTATTGCTGGGTCCAGGGGTAGGTTGATCCAGAAAATATTTTCAACAAAATCATAAAAGAAAGTTTTCCTTGCCTAAAGAAGAATAGGCACAAGAAGCATACAGAATACCAAATAGACTGACCAGAAAAGAAATTCCCCTTGTCACATAATAAAACACTATGCATGCTCAACAGAGAAAGGATATTAAAAGCAGCAAAGGAAAAAGACCAACTGAAATATGAAGGCAGACCTACTAGAATAACACTTGACTTCTCAATGAAGACTCTAAAAGCCAGAAGGACCTGGACAGATGTTGTACAAACTCTACAAATACCAGCCAGGCTACTATACCCCGCCAGACTTTCAATCACAGTAGATGAAGAAACAATGACAGTCCATGATAAAGCCAAATTTATATAGTATCTATCTACAAATTCAGCCCTACAGAAGTCACTAGATGGGGAACTTCAACCTGCAGACATTAACCACACCCAAGAAGACACAAGAAAGAAATAATCCTGGTCAGCAAATCAAAAGGAGCGCAGGAATAAAATAACAGAAATCAACTAACACTGCTCATTGATATCTCTGAATTTCAATCATCTCAATACCCCGATAAAAAGACAGACTAACAGAATGGATACGAAAACAAGATCCACCCTTCTGCTGCATCTAAGAAACTTACCTTAACATCAAGGATGCAAAACGATATTCCAAGCAAATGAACCTAAGAAGCAAGCCAAGGTACCATTTTAATATCTAAAATACAGACTTCAAACCAAAACTAACCAGAAGTGATAGGGAAAGACATTACATTTTTATCAAATAAAATCCACTAAGTGGGAATTATGATCCTTTATATCTATACAACAAACGCAAGGGCACTCAAGTTCATGAGCGAAAGATCCAACTAAAATCACAGATTAACTTTTACACACTGATTATGGAAGACTGCAATACTTTATTCTCACCAATAGACAGGTATCCAGATATAAACTAAATGAAGAAATGCTGGGAGCTAACTGACGTATTGCAGAATATTTGTTTAACTATGTAAAGGTGTGTTGTATTTGTTATTAATTATGTAAAGATGTGTTGCTCTTTTACCTTGCCTGTCTAAGGCACCTGATTGGCCTAGTAAAAAGTTGAACAACTAATAGCAAGGAAGGAGGTATAGGCAGGACTTCCAGGCAGGGAGAATAAGTAGGAGGAGGAATTTAGGCTGGGGGAAGAAAGAAAAGAGGCACCAGAGAGGAGCGAAGTGCCAGACAGACAGACAGACAGACAGACAAGGAGGAAGCAAGAAAGCAGGACATACAGGATGAAAGAAAGGCAAAAAAATCCCTAAGGCAAAATGTATATAAATAGAAACAGGTTAAATTAAGTTAAAAGAACTGGTGGAGGCCGGGCGATGGTGGCGCACGCCTTTAATCCCAGCACTCGGGAGGCAGAGGCAGGTGGATCTCTGTGAGTTNATAGACAACCTTAAAGCCCGCCCCCACAGTGACACACTTCCTCCAACAAAGCCACACCTTCTAATAATGTTACTCCTTATGAGCTTATGGGGGCCAATTACATTCAAACTACCACCCCCAGCTGGGCGGTGGTGGCGCACGCCTTTAATCCCAGCACTCGGGAGGCAGAGGCAGGCGGATCTCTGTGAGTTCGAGGCCAGCTGGTCTACAAGAGCTAGTGCCAGGACAGGCTCCAAAGCTACAGAGAAACCTTGTCTCTGTCTCGAAAAAAACTAAAAAAAAAACTAAAAAAAAAAAAAAAAAAAAAAAAAAAAGAACTGGTGGGACAAGCCTACACTAAGGCTGAGCATTCATAATTAATAATAATCTTCATCTTTTTATTTGTGCGCTGGTTGGAGGCCCAACGAAAATTCCAACTACATTGATGTCATAAACAAAACGTACCTGAAAGATGTTTACAGAACAGTTTACCCAAACACGAAATAAGGTACCATCTTTTTAGAAGCTCATGGAAATTTCTCAAAAATTGACCTCACAAGCACACAAGTGTTAACTAATAGAAGAAAACTGAACTAACTCCCTGCATCCTGTCTCACTAGCACTGTTTAGATCTGAACATCAGCAACAGAAACAACAGAAAGCTTATAAGCTTATTGAAGCTAAACAGCTCACTCACTACTCAGTGAAAAATGGGTCAAAAAAGAAATTTAAAACTTCCTAGAGTTGACTGAAAATGAAAACACAGTGTATTCAAACTGACAGGACATTATGAAGGCAGTTTTAAGAGGCAAACTCATGGCACTAAGTAACTATATAAAGAAATCAGAGCAATCCCATTCTAGTAACTTAATAGCACACCTGAAAGATATAGAACAAAAAGAAATCACACCCTAAAGAAGTAGACAGCAAGAAATAATCAAACTCTGGGCTAAAATCAATAAAAACATTACAAAGAATCAATGAAACAAAGAGTTGTTTGAGAAAATCAGAAAGATTGACAAACTCTTAGTCAAATTAACTAAAAGGTAGAGAGAGAGAATATCCAAAATAACAAAATTAGATATGAAAGGGGAGACATAAAAGCACACACCAAGGAAATTCAGAGAATCATAAACTTTAAAAGCCAATAATCCACCAAACTGAAATTTTATATTTTTTTTATATAGACCACCTACCAAAGTTAAATCTAGATCAGATAAGCAATTTAAACAGATTTATAACTTCAAGTGAAATAGAAGCAGTCTTTACTAGTCTCCCAACCAATATAGCTTAGGGACCAGATGGTTTTAGTGCAGAAATCTATCAGACTTTCAAAGAAGAGTTAACCAAGGCTTCTCATATTATTTCACAAAATAGAAACGGAATAGTTCCCAATTCATTTTATGAGGCCATAGTTACCCTGATACCAAAACCATATCGAGACCCAATGAAAAAAATTACAGACCAGTTCCCCTTGTGAACATAGATGCAAAAATACTCAACAAAATACTTCATACCAAATCCAAGAACACATCAGAAAGATCATCCACCATGATCAAGTAGGTGTCATCCCTGAGATGTAGAGATGGTTCAACATATATAAATTGATAAATGTAATCCACCATATAAACAGACTGAAAGACAAAAACCACATGGTCATCACATTAGATATAGAAAAGGCCTTTAACAAAATCCAACACTCCTTCATGATAAAAGTCCTGGAGAGATTAGGGATAGATACACAGGACATATCTAAACACAAAAAAAAGGCAGGCAACAGCAAGCGTACACCCAACATCAACTTAAATGGAGAAAAGCTCAAAGAAATTCCACCAAAAATCAGCAGCAAGACAAGGTTGCCCACTCCATACTTATTCAATTTAGTACTTGAAGTTTTAGCTAAAGCAATAAGACAACTAAAAGAAATCAAAGGGATACAAACTGGAAAGGAAGAAGTCAAAGTATTATTTTTAGATGATATGATCGTATACATAAGTGACCCTAAAAATTCCACAGGGAATTCCTACAGATGATAAACAATTTCAGTAAAGTAGCTGGATACAAAACTAAAAAAAATAATCGTCAGCCCTCCTATATACAAATGACAAATGAACAGAGAAAGAAATCAGGGAAAAGAATACCTTTCTCAATAGCCTCAAAAATATAAAATACTTTGGGGCAAGTGAAAGACTTGCATGATTAAAACTTTAAGGTGAAAAAAGAAATTGAAGAAGATACCAGAAAATGGAAAGATCTCCCATGCTCATGGGTTTGTGAGATTAATATAGTAAAAAAAAAAATGGCTAGTCTACCAAAAGTAACCAACAGATTCAACACAATCCCCATCAAAATCCCAACACAATTCTTCACATGTATTAAAAGGACAATTTTCAGCTTCATATGGAAACACAACAAAATTCAGAAGAGCTAAAAATCCCAAACAATCCAAGAACTGCTGGAGGTATCACCATCCCCAATGTCAAATTTTGCTATAGAGCTATAGCAATAAAATTAGCATGGTATTGGCACAAAAGCAGACATATTGATCAGTGGAGTTGAACTGAAGACCGAAACATAAATCCACACACATATGGACATCTGACTTTTAAAAAAGAAGACATAAAAACACACTGGGAAAAAGACAGCGTCTTCAACAAATGGTGCTGGTCAAATTGGATGACTGTATGTAGAGAATCCTAACAGATCTATGCTTATTACCCTATACAAAACTCAACTCCAAAGGAATCAAAGACCTCAGCATAAGACCTGATACACTGAATCTGACAGAAAAGAAAGCGAGGAGTACCCTTGAACTCATTGGCACAGGAAAAGACTTTATAAACAGAACCACTGTTAGCACAGGCATTAAGATCAACAACTAACAGATGGTACCTCATCAAACTGAAAAGTTTCTGCATGGCAAGGGACACCACCATTTGAACAAAGTGGCAGCCTACAGAATGGGGAGAGAATTTTTTTTTTTTTTACCAACTACGTTTCTGATAAAGGACTAATATCCAAATTATATAAAGAACTCAACCAGGCAGTGGTGGCCTTTAATCCTAGAATTCGAGAGGCAGAGACAAGCATATTTCTGTGAGTTCAAGACCAGCCTGGTCTAGAGTCAGTTCCAGAACATGTTCCATGGCTACACACTAAATAACCCAGGTTGTTGCAATAGCTACAGGTTGCTCTCCAAAATCTGATGGTGAGGCCCTATTGCTAAAAATAACACTTACATAATTCATTGAATGTAGTCAAGTTGAGCTGGTGCCTGCCTAGAACCTTCACCCCATTGGCTAGTGTTTTTGGTAAAGGAAGGTACTCTGCATGCTACCAAAGGAGAAAGGTAAACATCAATCCAACTACAAATCCTTCCATCTACAATGGTGTCCTCTCTGCAAGTTATGTTAGTGCAATGCTGGCACAAAGCTTGTAGGAGTAGCCAATATCTGATCTGACTTGAGGCTCACTCCATGAAAGAAACCATACCCCAAACTGCTTGGGTGTCTAAGAAGCTGAGACTCGATAGCTCAGGGACCTAGTGTAAAACCAAAATCTACTGATCTTTAAAAAGAAACAAAAAAAGTCGCAATAAAATGACTCCCAGTGACATTCTACTATACTCATAGATCAGTGCCTTGTTCAGCCATCATTAGAGAGGCTTCCTCCTGCAGCAGATGGGAACAAATACAGAGAGCCACAGCCAGACAGTGTGCAGATATTGAGAGAACTTGGAACACTCAGACCTAACAGGTTGTCTCCATCAAATCCCTCCCTGCCAAGGCTCAGGGAACCCTACAGAAGAGAAGGCAGAGTATAAGAACCAGAGGGAATGGAAGATACCTAGGAATCAAAATCTAAACACAAGACTAACGCACATATGAACACACAGAGACTGAGGCACCATGCCCAGGGCCTGAAGCTATCTCCAATTGATAACCATTTACAAGTGAAAATTAAGTTTTCTCCTAGGGAGTCTCACCAGGAAGACAAACTACTCCTAAGGGTAGGCTGAATACTAACAGTGGATGGTCAGCAGAGAGTGAACCCAGAGGTGTATAGGAGGCTCCTTGTCTCATCATGTCCTGCCAGGGCCTTTTATTATTGATTTTTATTTAGTTTTTTTTCCTCTTTACAAGTTTAGTGTATATAATATGGCTTCCAGTTTTGTGTTTTTATGGGATTCCTGAATACGTGAGCAAGTGGGTCTCTGTGTCTATTTCTAATTCTTGGGCCTTCTTTTGGGCTCTTTTCCTTCTATTTGTTTGTTTTGTCCTATTCCAATTTGTTTGTGTTCTATTATGTTTTATTTTATTAAATAAATATTAATAAAATATTATTTTATGTTATTGAAGATAAAAGTCCGAGTTGGCAAATGGACACTTTCCCAATGAATCAGAATGTGGGAATTTTCATTCTAAACTCCAGTAAGTTACAGCAAAGTCGTTTCAACCATATAAGTAATGAATGTTGCTATGGTCGCACTAAAGAACAGGAGTATGCATTTTATTAAGTAAAAGAGTTGTTTAGTGAGAGACATCTTTCTTTTTGCAGAGTAGTTCACCTGTTTTCTAGAACTGAAATGAAGGTCTGCTGACCGTGTCCAGGGATGACCGTGAACAGGCTGCAGTCTGTGTACTGGGGAGAAAGGGGGAATTCCCACAAGGGTTTGTTTTTTTCCCCAGATGAGTATTGGCATACTATCTTCAGCTTATAAACTACTATTGGCTATATTTTTATTTCAAACATCTCCTTTTCCTTGTCAAAAATAACTTTAATATTTCCTCCGGCATTTGGATTTATCCAAAATGTTATCCTAACATTCAGGAAGCAAGCTTGGGCATTTCGGTGTCTTCAGCGTGGAGAGGGTCATGGTGTTTGGAGCAGGTGAACAGAATGGCCCTGTGACTTCTCAGCTCTCTTTTCAGCTTCTGGAGTCTGTGTGCCAGTTTTAAACAGATGGCGTTGTTATACGGCTTGCCTTCCTTCTCTATAACTTCCTCCAAGGAAATCAGCCTGCGCTCTATAACCTCCCATCCAAACACAGCAAGTGAAGCATGGGACACCGCTTCATTTCCTCCAGAGGAGACATGGCAAAGATTCTCTCCGCTCTGGAATTCAAGGTTGAATGACAGCTGCTTCTTAAAGAAATTGTAGGGGCTTGTGGGATAGCTCAGCAGGCAAAAGCGCTTGCCACCAAGCCTGCTTACCTGAGTTTGATTCCTGGAAGCCAGATGGGGGAGGGGAACACCAGTTCCTGCAAACCACACTCAGGCCAAGGTGACACACACCTCGTGTGCGCACACACACACAGACACACACACATCCATGAAGGAAAGGAATTATAAAACCTTTGTATATAGGGAGAGGAGAGGAAGGAAGGGGAGTGGGAGGAATGTATAACTTAACAAAAACAATTTTAAAAACTTTGTATATTGAGAAAGTACCCCACCTGCTTCAGAGAATCAGTTATTTCTGTCTTTTTTTTTTTTTTTTTTTTGACTTAGGAAATACACAACACAAGGAAGGCAGTGTAATCTCTGAAAAATAAAAACCCAATTCCTTCTATTTGTCTGGTCTGGAGTAATAGTAAGAAATAAGGGCCCTTCCTCATTGCCAATACCATTTTCTTATTAATTCATCAAGTCAGATTGGAGTGTGTGTGTGTGTGTGTGTGTGTGTGTGTGTGTGTGTGGTGGTGGTGGTGGTTTGAATGAGAATGGCCCCCATTGGCGCCTGTATTTGAATGTTTGAGGCCCAGTTGGTAGAGCTGTTGAGAGGATTAGGAACTGTGGCCTTGTTGAAGGGGTTGTGTTCCCGGGAGTGAGCTGAGGTTTTAAGGCTTGTGCTTCCAGTTGGCTCTTTCCTTCCCTTGTGGGCCAGGGTTAAGCTCTCAGCTGCTGCTCCAGTGCTCCGTGCTCCTGCCTGCTGTCGCCACCATAAGGTCACCGACTCTAGACCTCTGGAACTGTAAGCAAGTCCCCAATAAGCTTCCCTGGGCATGGTTTCTCCTCACAGCAATAGAAAAGTAACTAAGACAATGTGTAAAAGATTTTTTTCAGATATTTGGAAAGAAAAAGAGGTTTATATGCAGGCTACACTGTGATAAATTCTAGGCAAAGGAGTGATTTGCTAAGAGAACATAGGAAGGTGAGTTTTTGTCATAAAGAGATAGGAACTAACTTTCTAAACTTTCTACCATTCTTTTTTTTTTTTTTCTTTTGGTTTTTCAAGATAGGGTGTCTCTGTGTAGCCCTGGCTGTCCTGGAACTCGATCTATAGACCAGGCCGTTTATCTTCCTCTGTCTCCTGAATGCTGGTGTTAATTAAAGGCATGTGCTGTCACTGCCCAGAGGAAATGACTTTCTAAGCATAACTTAAAATCAGAAAGACTTAACCATATGAAAATGTTAAAATATATATGACAAAATATACAAAGAGAAAAAAATATACAAAGAACAAATGGCAGGAGGGGAGAACATTTGCAACACATGTTGGAGGTTTAAAAGATTATATTTATAGTTTTTCTTTAAAGAAAAAAAAAACAGAAGGAAAAAGACCCCACTTAGAAAAGTAGTTCTAAAAGCAATATAAAAATTACAAATTATCGACCCTTCCTCCATCTCAACCATCCCAATTCCCCAAGCTCTCCCCAATCCTTTTCTTCTCCCCATTTCTCCTTCTCCCCAATCCTCCCCACCCCCATGCTCCCAACTTTTGCCCGACGATCTTGTCTACTTCCAATATCCAGGAGGATAAATATGTTTTCTTTGGGTTCACCTTCTTATTTAGCTTCTCTAGGATCACGAACTATAGGCTCAATGTTCTTTGTTTATGGCTAGAATCCACTTATGAGTGAGTACATACCATATTCCTCTTTTTGGGTCTGAGTTATCTCGCTCAGTAAATGGGAGCAGGGAAGAAGATATCTTAACTAAGGGAGCCATTTTAGGGTTGGCAAGAGACTTGGCTCTAGAGGGGTTCCCAGGTGTCCAAGGGGATTTCCCCAGCTATGTCCTTGGGCAGCAGAGGAGAGGGTTCCTGAACTGGCTTTCTCCCATAGCCACAATAATGAATATCTTGCATTCATTATTCATCTGGCGATGGATGGAGATAGAGACAGAGACCCACATTGGAGCACTGGACTGAGCTCCCAAGGCCCAGATGAAGAGCAGCAGGGAGAACATGAGCAAGGAAGTCACTGCGAGGAATGCGTCCACCCACGGAGATGGTCTGACTGATCTAATTAATGGGAGCTCACCAAGGCCAGCTGGACTGGGAGTGAAAGAGCATGTGATCAAACCGGACTCTCTGAATGTGGCTGACAATGCAAATCTGTTGTAATAGGAGTGGTGGGGCTGCATCCCCAGCACCCCGGCCGCCTGCTAGCTTATGCCCCGAAATAACAACACACAAACTGTATTCATTTAAACACTGCTTGGCCTATTAGCTCTAGTCCTTACTGGCTAATTCTGATATCCCGATCAACCCATCTCTAATAAACTGTGTAGCACCGGTCTTACCGGAAAAGATTCAGCATGTCTGACTTGGCAGCTTGCTTCATCCCGTGCGTCTGCCCAGGAGAGGGGAGCATGGCCTCTGCTCCAGAGAGCAGAGCTGTCGAGTCTGAGCTCACTTCCTCTTCCTCCCAGCATTCTGTTCTGTTTACTCCTCCCACCTATGTTTTAACCTATGAGGCCAAGCAGTTTCTTTATTATAATTAACCAATGACCTTCCTCCATCACAAATCAAGCTGGGTGGTGGTGGTGTATGCCTTTAATCCCAGCAGAGGCAGGTGGATCTCTGTGAGTTCAAGGCCAGCATGGTCTACAGAGTGAGTTCCAGGGCAGGCTCCAAAGTTACAAAGAAACCCTGTCTCAAGCCTCCCCTCCCCCCAAAATTGCAAATCAAAATTCCGATTTTATCTATGTGCGTATAGATATATATTCAGACAGACTTACCTTTACAGCTCAGACTGGGCAAAGTTAATGTAAGTGTGACACTGGTGAAAATGAGAACCGTAGGGAGCTTCACTGATGGGGGTGCAATGTCAGGACCTTTTAAAAGGGCGATATGAAAGTATCTGTAGGAGCAATAATACAGTTCTTCTGGTCAGCAATGCTTTCATCAGTAGACAAAAGCAACAAGGATATTACAGAGGAATTCTCACAGTGGGTAAGAAGTCTAACACACTTGTGTTTATTGTCCCCAGGCTGCTGAGACAGTGAAGCAAGAATGGAGACTGGCATGTTTTCTGGTATGAGGCAGAGTTCGCCTCTTGAAAAGGTCAGCTTGTTTCTGTATGTGATTCGTGATGACAAGTCCATCAGGAGTGAGTCTGCTCCGGGGCTCAGCGTCTACTGTCATCCTTAGCCATCAGGGTCCCACAAGGATGCAGAGTGGCTTGAGATGTGGGATGGAGAAGCTCGACTTATGCTCATTGGAGCTGGGGAGGCGGCATCTTCACGCCTCTGCTGGTGGGCAGGTACTCAAAGGAGCTTAGACCTTTCCAGGAAAGTAATGCTATTGGCTGGGTTGGTAGTGACCTGGCATTAGGTGACTTTGTAAACAGTGGGCCACACTAAACCGTAAATGGCATGTGAGCTAGGGAAGAATGTACCCATCTTCAGTGTGACTTTCTTCCACACACAGGGTGTATAGAAACAGAACGGGTAGAATGCATATACATAAAGGGTTTCTTAGAATGGTTTACACGATGTGGTCTGGCTAGCCCAACAGTGGCTGTCTCCCGATGGAAAGGCCAAGAATCCCATTTCTTCAGCCCACGAGGCTGCCACCTCAGCAGTCCAGAGGAGCCTAGAGAACTGCTGCCCTTCAGTCTGTGTTGGAATCCCAAAGAAGCAGGTTCGAACACCAGCAAAGGAAAGCCTCAGTCACGGGATAGATGAACTCTATAGCCAGCAAGTGCGAGGGCCAGCAGGCAGAAAGTAAAAGCTTCCTTTGTCTGTGTCCTTTCGTGTGACCTGGATTTAGGATGGGTCTTTGAACTCAAGGGATCCAATCAGGAAAATCCATCGCAGGTGTGCCCAGCTGCTTGCGTTTCAGTTGATTCCAGCGACACGTCAGGTTGACAGCTGAGATCAGCCATCATATAGGGTAGGTAATTCCTCATAGCACTTTAGGGTTACTCTCTAACAGGTTAAAAATGTTGAACCATCTCCATTGCTGGGAGCGATTGCTTGTGCTAACTGCCAGCACAGCAGAGCTAGTTGGTCAGGCTAAGCAATGTGGAAAGCCCCATCTTACCTGTAGGCAGGGATCCAGCTGAGCACCAGCATTCGAAGCTCTCTGCTGCTACTCCACAGTTTGGGTCGTGTGGCTTGCTCCCTCCTTGACAATGGGTGGCCGTCATGTAACTAGCTCCCTTGAATGGCTGCCATTGTGACTTCTCTGTCCTGATGGATCATACCCTGGAGCGGTGAGCCAAATTGTTCACCGTGTTGCTTTAGTCAGAGCACTTAGTCACCACCGCAGTAAATAAGCCAAGAGGCCAGCGTGACCTCAGGAGGCCAGGGTGATGGCGCACATCTGTAGTCTAGCAGTCAGGAGACATAGGCAGGAGGCTCACATGTTCAGCATCACATCGCTACATAGCAAGTTCCAGGCTAGCCTGGGCTATTAGAGACCATGTCTAACTAATTTTTTTTAAAGTTCTGTTTACTTGGAATACTAATTTACTTTGTGTTCTATCCAAGAGAAGCCCCACCGTAGTTAAGAGAGAACAAATACCCTTCTCCTACTCTCCCTCCCCCCAACACACACACACACACACACACACACACACACACACACCGTGTCAAACAGCAGATTCTTTCTCTATCACCAGGCTGGTCTTGAACTTAGGATCCTTCTGCTCAACCTCTCAGTCCTAGTATTCCAGAGATGACACCGTACCCAGACAACCCTGTCCCTGCATTGCTCCAGGAAGTGTCCTGACTGCGGAAGCAAGGGAATGGATGACACATGGACACAGAGAAGCCAGAGCTGGGTGGAAGGGGTCCTCTGACGGCACCCTGGAAACCGCAGAATAGAAGGTGGGGTTATCACACACAGATAAGCAAGACGGCAAGGCTATTATATACAGGTGAACAAGGAGGCAGGGCTAGCTAATCGAGGTAGGGGCAGTCTCCATAAGAGAGCCATGTTTAGGCTACACACATCCAGGGAGAGAAAGCTATAGAGGACATTATCTGTACACACTGTCAACATTTACATTCAGACCAGAGGAAGGCTTTGCAGTCCCTTTGAGCATCAATAGTAAAGGGTTTGCCACTCCCACGAGGCTGAGGCAATGGTGTTTTTGACGAGGCTATGGCCCTTCAAGAATACACATTCACTCAGGGCTTCACTCAATCCCTACACTCGGCTGAATTTATACATTTAAATAAAACATGTGCCAAGGCCAGATGGTGATAGCGCATGCCTTTAATCCCAGCACTCGGGAGGCAGAGGCAGGCGAATCTCTGTGAGTTCGAGGCCAGCCTGATCTACACAAGGTAGTTCCAGGATAGGCTCCAAAGCTACAGAGAAATCCTGTCTTGAAACACTAAAATAAAAAAAAAATGTGCCTAAGAAAATGATATTTCAAAATGAAAAAAATATAATTTTAAATGTATTATCATCTTGATTTGAATTAAACATAATCAGCTAACTTTTAAAAGTCAGTTCATCTGCTGCTCATTCTTTCTTGATTGGTACCCACATTCCGGCTCTCCACTCCCAGTGAGTGTGGCTTGTGGGCCCTTGCTTCCTGATGCCCACAGCAATGGCTCTCAACCTTGCCAGTGCTGCCACCCTTTAATACAGTTCCTCATGTTTTGCTGACCCCAACCATAACATTATTTTCGTCGCTACTGTAACTATAATTATGTTACTGTTGTGAGTCATAATGTAAATATCTGTGTTTTCTGATGGTCTCAGGTGACCCCTGAGAAAGGGTCATTTAACCCCCAAAGGGGTTGCTACCCTCAGGTTGACAACTGCTGGTCTAAAGCTTGAGAAAGACGAACTGTTCTGAAGAAAGAAAAGTGTGGTGTGAGAAGGAGGGATTTATGGGAGTTAAAGCAATAAATATCAAGGTATGTCTGGTCACCGTAAGCTATGAGACTTCTTTTGCCCTTTCTGCCTCTTATGACAAACAGTCCCTGTCTGTGATGTTCAACTTATAATAGTGCCAAGTGGTACTCATCTAACAAACCGTACTGGGATTTTGGATTTGGATCTTTTCCCAATCAAATGATATGACGTATTATACTCTACTGTTATGCTGGGCCATCACCATGGTCTGTCAGTCACATGGCCATAAATGAAGCAACTGATGCCCAAGAGTATAATGTAACTAAGATATGACTTTAGGAAGGTTTGGAGGGAGGTTTAATGGATTTCTGTCATGATATTTGTATTAGTTACAGTTCTTTTAAATATAAAATATCTTGACTTAAAGTCTTACTGTTCCACAGGGCTAGACTCCATCACGCTGGGGAAGGTAATGGCAGCAGGCAGGGAAAGCATGCTGGCGGGAGCAGCAAACTGGCTGGTCACATTTTCATCTGCGCATGGGAAGCAAAGAGGGAGAAAGAAAACAGAAAGTGGGGAACGCTAGACACCCTCAAAGCCCAGCCCACTGATATAACTTCTTTCAGCAAGTCTCTTCCTCCTAAAGTTTCCATCATTTTATAGAACAGTACCCAACTGGGGGTCAAGTGTTCAAGTCAACGAGTCTTACTAAATCATCACAATATTTTTAACTTCTAGTGGCCTTGTTATCACTTAACTCCCATGCTAAGTGGAGGAGCCTTTGTAGTTCTATAGTGTAGTTAAAAGGGGATTCTTTGACTCTTCAAGTTTTGGTAAAGCCCTGTATTTGAGTAGCAAATCCTCCACTATCACGCAGGCTTGTGTGGCTGTTGGTTCTAGATATGATTAGAAGCTCCAGTGTTTGTTCTCCTGGCTTCAGTCCATTGTCCTCCTCCAGACGATACCAGAGACAAGCATTGAGGACATCTTGGAGACAGCTATCAGTGAGGATGATAGAGGGAGAGTGGGGATGTTTCTGCCTAAGTCTGAGTAACTCTCAGACGTTAACACGAGTCCTCGGGAACATGAAGGAACCTTTAATATCTCCGCAGAGAGACTCTCAAAGGTTTCCTGCCCTAGACCATGAGATTGAATATTGCAGTTATGAATCGAATGCCGTGGTTTGGTACAGCAGAAGTATTTCCCCTAACTAGATAAAGATGTTTCAGTAGTCTGGACAAGATCATTTTGTGATGGATTTAACTAAGAAGGTGACCCCAAAAGATAAGAGTGATCAGACAGAAAGAAACCTTGGGACGGGTGCCTGCCTGCTCCCTCTGAGAGCTTCTGTGTGAGGTCTGCAATGAATCCATAAAAACGCTTCAGAAGATTCAACTGACATTTAATGCCATTTGTGACCATTGGTGACCATAACTCACCAAGGTGATTTGATCATAGAACAATTTAAGAGTACAATTTCAAAACTTTGGAGCATTTTCTAATTCTCTTTCTTTCGTTGATTTACAGTTTAACTCCACTGTGGTTATTGACTATTGTCAATGTAATTTGAAACCTCGGAAAAATTTTGAAAGTTTTCTATAAGACTAACATAGAATGTATTTGGTAATGCCCACTTTTGTTTTTATTTTTTGTGACAGGGTTTCTCTGCGTAGCTTTGGAGCCTGTCCTGGAACTAGCTCTTGTAGACCAGGCTGGCCTTGAACTCACAGAGATCTGCCTGCCTCTGCCTCCCAAGTGCTGGGATTAAAGGCATGTACCACTCCCACTCAGCTATTTTAACATAATACATTGATTCTCTCTGGTTAGTATCTAACTATACCCTTTATGGTATTTGAATTCTTCCCCTTTCTGTGGCTCTTAGGTGTACTGATTATTATTAACATCATATAGCTGTTGGATTTTTGTGATTTATTCAGTGTACAATCTTCTTGGAATTGGATTGTCTGGCTAATTTTTACTGTATAGAATTACTAATATGGTTGGGTTTAAAACTACCATCTTTTCATTTAATCGTTGTATGTATCCATTATTCCTAGTCTTTTTTTCAATTAACCATGTATTTTTATGGTTTTATTGCTTTGTTTAGTATTTTATTTAGTATTTCTCTGGAGATCATGTGATTCTCACTCAGAACAATGCACCCACCTTTGTGTTCTTCTCATGATTTTATTTGTTTATACTATAATTCTCAAAAGACATTGCTATGAAACATGAAGCAATCAAGTTACATACTTACCCACTATTTATATTTTTTCAATGTTCTTTCTTTTAGTCATATGTTACTTTAGTCAGTTTCTTAATTCCCAAGCTTATTTAAAAACTTTGTTTGGAGAAGAGGGAGGGGGAACTAGGATTGGTATGCAAAGAAAAAAAACTTTGCTTGGGTTTAGGAGTCTGGATGTTTTGGCTTAAGACTGAGCAAGCTCACAGCTTGGGTGTCTAGTGAATTGCACATTATGGTGGGAAAGTTTACCCAGGGAATCCAGTTCTATCACAAGCCAGGAAGCAGAGTGAGAGAGAACCAGTGGGTTTCCAGGAGCCGTCTTGAGAGCATGCCCCAGTGACCTAAAGACGGCATAAGATTCCCAGCACTTCCTACTAGCAAGACCCTGTAACCACATCTCCAACACATTGGCCTTGAGATCATTGGACTTGCAGTCTACACTCTTACGTGGTCACTTTCCTTCATATGTAAATTCTCCTCTGTTCCAGTATTGCATGTTGGTGAAGATTTCCTTCCTTCCTAGTTGTCTAACATTTCCAATGATGTTGTAAACAAGTGCGGGGCTCTAGGTTGACTCTGGAGTTTTTATTCCCTCACTGTGAGATGTTATGCATCTGTGTATGCTGAGCAGTTAGCTCTTGGTTCTGTTGCTCCTTTGAAGTTACTAAGTGTTCCTCAGAAGCTCCTTAAGTTTTCTCCTAATCCTTGACTAGTAGAAGTTTCACAAAAATGTATTTAAATTTTAGTCTCTTTATTTGTGCTGCCTAGAATGCGCCAAGGTTCTTGAATCTTTGGGACAATTTCTTAGCAATTTCTGGGCAGATCTTATCCATCATTTCTCCAAATACTGCTTCTGTGCCTGTTGGTTTCCCTTCTTTTTCTTTGATTTCAGTTAAAAAGAGGAAACCTCTTGCTTTGGTCCACATAGCTCTTACCTTTTATTTCCAACTGTTGCTTACATTGTGTGTTTTCTGTTGTCTTGTCTTAGAGTATACTAATGGTTTCCTCTCCTCTGCCCAGCCTGTTGGTGAATGCATCCAGTGTGTTCCTAAACTCAGGTACAGAAAGTCTTAGTTTGCTTCTCTGATACTGTGGTTAAACACAGACCGGAACAGCTTGGGGAGAAAAGGGTTTACTCCATCTTGAACAGGCAGGTATATCAGTGGGAGAAGCTGGGGCAGTAACTGAGGCAGAGACTACAGAGGAGCGCTGTTTTCTTGATCTTGTTCAGCTACCGTTTTTTAGACTGTTGGTGTGAGGTTTGTTTCATCTTACACCTTGCTGTTGGTCAGTGCTCTATCGCAGCAGCAGAGAGCAACTGGGACGCCATCTTTGTCCCTTAGAAAATGCTCGCGGGTCTTCTGCACAGGACTCAAACGTCAGCTACTGCCTTTTCATCCCTTGTCCTTCCCTTCTTCTGGCTCATTTAATACATCAACTAGTTACCTTAATGTCGGCCATCTTCAATATCCAGATTACCTGTGGCTCTCCTCCATTTTTATCTTTTCTCTTGATTATGATTAACAATGGTTCTTCATGCTTCTCTGACTGTCCAGTGGTTGTTTTTGTTGTATGCTGGTAATGGTCCACAGAAGCACAGCAGAAGCTCCCCTCTCTCCCTGCTCTGGAGAGGGTTTCCACAGTCCTCTGTGGAAAGGCAGAAAGGATGAGGGTTTGTCTTTGAGCAGAATAGGGCTTGTGGCTAGAGCTGCAGTTTTGGGAAGCCTTATGCTGGCCCTCCTTACTCTTTGCTCTCCAAGCAGAGCTCTCCTAGGCTCTGGGTTAGGACCCGTAGGAGCTGCGTCTCCTCAGTGCTAAACGAGTGGGAAGAACCTAGCACTGCCCTGGGAGGCTCGGAGTTCGGCATCATGAAACTAGAAGGACTTTTGTTATGCCTTGTAGAATCCTTCAGCCAAATGTCCCAGCCTTCTTTGCATAGTCCCTGAACTCAGATGTCCCATGGGGAAAACCAGCCAAATTTAGCATAACTCAAGTTTCTAAATTCTCACACAAGCCCCACATGACTGCCAAGTCTTTCTGGTTTCTTTTTCTCTAAAACGATTCCTTCTTTATAAAAAATAGTCTAATACTTTTGACGGTCAAGCCCAGAATTAAAAAATGGGCCCAAAGGAAAAGACAGCCGCTCAATTACGCAGCCACCATCCCATCCTCACTTTCCGAGCTTGTTCACGTGGTCCTTCGGAAGTCATTCTTACGAAGGGGATTCCAATCTGGCGTCAGCAGCATCTTTTTTCATATATATGTGCATATGTGTGTATAATATTTTCACTCTTCTGACCTTTTTCAGTCATTGCTATCATAATATGGAGATGTATTATTTTATTCAATTATACCATATATATATATATATATATATATATATAAAATGAATAGTATTAACATTTTAAACCAGAAGCACACCTATTGTTCGGACCTTTTAAGTTTTTAGTTCTTTATTATATTTTGGTCAGTTGAAGTGTATCTCTAATTTACTTACTCTAGAAGGTATATTGGTATTTCATAAATATTCGAGTGCCTGACCACATCTCCAGTTCTCTTTATAAATGAAAAGAACCCATAGACTCATCCAACTATGTTTTGTTCCCACAGTTCTAGAACAGAAAGTGCTTCCTCTATACCCGAGGATATCTGGGGTTCCTGGGAGCTTTATAGAGTTTATCCCTGGCCATTACAATGCTAGGACCCCCAAATATATCAGTAAATTGGGATTTCTAGATATGGGGCTTTCTCAAACACACAGCTCTTTGGGATGAGAACTCCTTGCTTGCCAACCACACCATCAATTCCTATGTGAATTCTGTCTTTCATTGTCATCTGTGTGTGTATATATTCACTATACATGTATACATACATGTATGTCTATATGTATTTGTTTTTGAAACAGGGTCTTAGGTATCCCAAGCTGTTCTTGAACTTGTTATATGGTTGAGGCTGACTTTGAACTCCCGCTCCTCCTGCCACCACACCCAACTTTTACAATGCTGGCGATTAAAGCCAGGACTTCAGCATGCTAGGCAAGCACTCTGCCAACTGAGCTACATCCTGGCCTTCTCTGTTTATCTACCTATGTATTCTCTCTTCTTTACCATCCTTTCCCCTCTCCTTTAACCTGAATTTTCTCCTGCTGGCTGAGCTCTTTACTTCCCCCACTCTAACGATGGGGGCGAGTCATCCGACATTTTATAAGGCAGTTTTCTGAACTGTCTCTGCACTCCTCCCTGTCCACATGGGGCTGGCCATCATGAAGGTGCTGGTGCTTTAGTCTTCCAACAAGATCTGTGTGGTCCCCAGGTGATGCCCCTTCTGGGACTCCTCCCCCCCACCCCCACCCCAGCTTTCACATTCAGCCTGCTCTTCTTCTCTCTTTCTGACACTCGCCACGATTCTTTCTTTCACTCTTGCTCTGTGGCTCTCAGTCTCCTTCTCGGTAACTTGTGGAATGGCCCTTCCTAACCTTTCTGGTTTCCACTGTCACCTGCACAGAGACATGTCTCTGTATTTGCAATCGTGTAATCATGTCATCTTTCGAGTTGCTAGAAACAGAAACCATCTCTCACTGGTAACATAAGGGAAGGGGAACTTACTAGAGAATGACAGAGGTTTCTCAGAGACCAAGAGTTAAATAACCTGAGCGCTGGCTCAGGAGTCCGGCTGAACTTAATGCCAATAATTCCTAACTTACTTATTTCTCTCTTCCAGTTCAAGTCCCTGAATCCCCTGTGTGTGTAGAGATGCAAGGTTGTGCTATGTAAATGAGACTTCCCTTAGTGTGTCTGTGTCTCCAGGACTGCCCTGCAGTTACACAGCACACTAAACTCCAGCCCATCCTCTGACTCTTCCTGGAATGGACTGCAGGGACAGCTGCCGTTGCCACCTTCCCACTGACATCTGCTGATCTCCATGGTCCCAGAGTGCCACGCTGCAGGAAAGCCCAGTCCAGGTCCTCTGACTTTTCCAACACTAAATCTCTTGCTTGATGTTCCTACGTGCCTGGAATCGTTACTGAGCACAGCGAATCAAGTCACAGTTCCACTAACCTAAATCTATGTGCAAGTTAAAAAAGGAAAACAACCAATCAGAAGAAACAAAAACTTTGGTGATGATTATAATAACTCACAGGAATTTTCAGCTGGAATTGGGTTTTGAGCACAGTAAACAAAACTATATACATAAAGTAGACATTGCCTATTCATCTCTCTCTCCATTGAAAACATTTTGTGGGGTCAGGTGTTGTGGCACATGTGTTTAATTCCAGTCCTCAGGGAGGCAGAGGAAGGTGAGTCTCTGTGAATTCCGGGACACCCAAGACTACACAGAGCAACCCTATCTCAAAAAAAAAAAAAAAGAAAGAAAGGGAGGGAGGGAGGGAGGAAGGAAGGAAGGAAGGAAGGAAGGAAGGAAGAAAGAAAGAAAGAAAGAAAGAAAGAAAGAAAGAAAGAAAGAAAGAAAAGAGAAGAGTGAGAAGATCTTGTAGCCTGGAGTCTGGGCTGATTTCTATTGAGGGTTACACACAAAAAGGTGAACAGTATCAGCACAGTCCTATCTATGAATCTTCTGACTTATCAGAAATGAGCAACGCTGACTGAGTGCCCTGACCGAGAGGTACCAGGGTCTATGATGACAGTTACTGGGAAGTCAACAGAGTGCCCTGGTCTCCCCCTCCCAAGGAACTGATGCTCCTATTGAGGTCAGACCAGGAAAGAAGTTGTCTGGGAGGGAAGCAGGTTCTTCTAGACAGCCAGCAGGCTGTGCGTGGGCTCCGGTGTTCAAGGGACTCTGGTGCAGTTGAGGAACTGGGAGCTCAGTGTAGACTTGAGAGCAGCGGGGAAGAGGCCATGGGGCAGCAGGAGTGGCCTTCAAGTGAGCAGGTGACAGACTTTGCCAGGAAATCGCTGGCCCCTCTTAGGTGGCAGTGTAAGATGATCTTGTTCAGTTTTCAAAATGGTCCGTCTGACAGTCGCGTGGAGAGTGATTGGGACGCGCTGAATGAGCCTAGAGGTAATGTCCACCTAGCCATGCACTTGACAGAGAGCCGTCATTTTCTCGTCGTTTCATGGATATTTTCATTTTAAACCTATCAGTCACCCCAGTTCAGTGGTTGTATGAAGAAAATCGTAACAACGACAAGGCAGGGGTATGCCCCAGATTATGAAGTCATGAGATCAAGTATGAATCATGAATAACTGCCAGGTTTCTCACTCCAGCCAGTACGCAATGTTGGAGTGAGTGTGTGGCTGTGTCCCTTACCTCCTGCACAGGCTGTCCAACGAGGAGGAGCCATATGGTTTTGCCTTTTCCCTAATTTCTAACTCAGCATACATATTTAATGGATTCCCTCTGCATGCCTGCTTGTTTTTTTCTGTTTGGAGGACTATCTGCAGGGAACACCGAATCACTCTGAAAGGTACCCTTCAGGGTTCCAGGGCAGTTTATGACCCACTCCAACTCGAAATACATCGAGACTTCTTAAACTAGGGTTTTAAACTGTGACTATTGCTTCCGATGGAAGGAGGGTGAGAACCTGTCTGCATATCAACTTCTGGGAATGGGAAGGCAAATATGGTGGACTCAGAGCTTAGAAGGAACACATCAGAGGCCCGCATAGCACAAGGACAGAGCTTCTTTTTTTTAAATTTATTTATTTATTAAAGATTTCTGGGGCTGGAGAGATGGCTCAGAGGTTAAGAGCATTGTCTGCTCTTCCAGAGGTCATGAGTTCAATTCCCAGCAACCACATGGTGGCTCACAACCATCTGTAACGAGGTCTGGTGCCCTCTTCTGGCCTGCAGGCATATACATAGAATATTGTATACATAATAAATAAATAAATATTTTAAAAAAATCA